CAGAACTGTTATAAGCTCTATTTACAGATGCTAAAACTGAGGCTCAAGCTGTTAACCAACTTCTTAGCCATCTGGCTGGTCAGAGGCTCAAGCCCAAGCCTGCTCTTGAACTTCAAGGGCCAAATCAAGGTCTGGGAGTGCTCAGGTGATTTAAAAGACTCCTTCTTTCCCTCCTTCTTCCCTCTCACCTCCCCTCTTCCTTTTTTTAATTTAAAAAAATTTTTTTAGCAACAGGGTCTTGCTTTGTTGCCCAGGCTGGAGTGCAGTGGCATGGTCATAGCTCACTGCAGCCTTGAACTCCTGGCCCCAAGTGGTCCTCCTGCCTCAGCCTCCCAAGTAGCTGGGACTACAGGCACATGCAACCACACCTTCCCTTCTATCTTCCTATCCTTCCCTTCTACCCTTCTATCCTCCTTCCTCTCTTCTTTCCTTCTCCCTCCCTCCCTTTCTCTCTTCCTCCTGCCCTCCCTCACTCCGTGGTCTGTGCTTGGTGAATGAAGAAATTAACACAACATAGTGCCTGGTCCCCACCATGTCCTGGTCAGGTTGGATGCCCAAGAAACATTTGATGAAGGACTGTCCCCTGACCTAGAGCTATGACCAAGTGACAGAACAAATGGCCATCACCACTGGTGCTGTTTGGCAGGTGGGCGAGGCCTTGTGTTCAGGCTGCAGAAGGAGGGTGATTGGAATACAGCCAAAGGGGAGAAAAATAGAGATGCCCAAAGGTGGAAGACAGGTCTGTCCTGACAGTGGAGGTGTGGGGAACAGTGATGCTGCCGAAGTGAGATCCTTGGAAAGCAGTAGCCACTTGCCCAAGGGCTTGAGGATTGCAGTGCCACTCAGGCTGCCAGAGCCACCAGGTGAAGGCTCTGCAAGTGCCAGTTCAGAGCCCAAACTTTGATCACACAGGGTTGGACACAAGTCCCTGTGTGACACTGGGCAGTTTTCCCATCTGGAGAGACTAGTGCCAGCCCCTTGGCTGTGGTGAGGATTCAGGGACCAGGTGTGTAAAGGGCAGTTGGGGAAGTGACTGGCCACACGCAGAGGCACACGTGCCAGGGAGCTAGGCCAGGGTGACAGGCCAGCCCAGCAGGCCGGGGGCGCCAGCCAGAGTGCTGGAAGCTGGCATACATGCTGCCACTTCCTGCCTGGGAGGACATGGACCAGCCAGGGCCCAGGCTGCAGGGCCCATGAAGTGGGGGCAGAGAGCAGCCTAGTCCCTCTCCAGGTATCCAGCCCCATCCAGGAGAGGTCAGTGCTGGGGGTGGAAGGAACTCACCCTGTTGGGAGCCAGCTGGGTTACCCTCCCCCTCTGAGCTTCAGCCCTCCCAGTGCCTCCAAATGAGGACATGACAGGATTGTCAAGTATCAACGCCAGAGCAGATGGGGGTCTGCCCTGGGAGAGGCGGGCATGGGCCAGAGCTGGTGCAGACAGCTCTCCATCCTTCTGCCCACAATCCCCTCTCAGTTCCTCTGAGTGGCCCTCACTCCCTCCCGTTCAGCTCTCAGCTCATTTCCTTGCTTCCAGGAAGCCTGCTCTGATGGGCTCTTCTCCCCCGGCACCACACTCCTCACCCACAGCCCCTGCCCAAGCTGCAATTTTACCATGTTCCTTTGGGATTTTGTATTTAGCCTTTGTGTCCTCCCTTAGTCTGCCAACCCTGTGAGGGCAGCGGCCACATCTGGCCTGTCTGCCTCTGTCTTCTTCAGTCATGTATTTATTGGGTACCTATCCTGTGCCAGGTACTGTTCTAGACACGGAGACAGCAGAGAACAAACAGAAAACACATTGACACAAAAAGAAGGGCCTCAAAATGGAAAGCTGGAGCTACTGGAGCTACAGGGGTGTGATGCTTAAACCTCTCCTGCGGGCCCTTACGGTGGAGCCCGTGCCTCTCCCCATGGCCAGGCGAGTTCTGCAAAGCTTGAGGCTTTAATGGCAGCACAGAGATGGCATGGTAAGGATGTGAACCAGGTCACCCGGGATCCCAAACCCATGGCTCCAAAGGTCATAGACTGGGGCTCTCGGGAGAGGCAACATGGAATACAGGACTGGCCATGTGAGGCCAACTGAGATGGGGGACACGTTGCCATCTGTCAGGGTCAGTGGAGTGGTGGAGTGTTTGGTGGAGGGTGTATGTGTATATGCACATAACAGACAGCAGGGCCACTGACCCACAGGCTTTCACACTTGTTTCCAGGAGCAGAACTCCTTATTAAATCAAAGTCCTCCTTAAAACCTGATAAATGACACTAATGAGTAGATCTTCCCATGGAAGCAGGTAAGGGCAGTGTCTCCCTTTCAGCTTCCAGCATATCCCATAGCCCTGTGCTACAGTATTTCCAAGGAACCCTGGAGCCCTAAGGATTCCAGTCTGAAATCCATCCATGTAATCCATCCTTTTCATTTTATAGGTGAGAAAGCAGGACCTGCAGAAGGTAGCACGTGGTGAGCTAATGCCAGGATCTTGCCCCAGTCTGCAACTCCTTCCTATAAGTCTTGGGCACCAGCAATGTGCCAGCTTACATGCAGGGACACAGTGGGGACCCAGGAAGATATGTCCCCTTGGACACATCTCCCTCAGCTCAGAGTCACTGGGGGTGACAGACAGGTCACTGGACAATCACTACACAACATTGTGAAAGCAGAGATGGCAGAAGCCTAGGCCTGGGGAAGCCCTGCTTTGCTCAACCACTCAGCCATCTTCCAGAACGCCTTGGGCATGCCATGGGGGGCACCAGCACAGGCAGTTGCTGGATGGTGACTTGTGGGGTTCCTAGAGACTCAGCCCAGTGTCCTCCTCCTTGGTGGCAGCCTGCCCTCCTGACCTGATAGTTTTGGGGCCCACTTGAGCCTGCAGCAAGGCATTCAGGCTGAGGAGCCCCACCCATCACTCGGAAGTGACAACCCCGATCTGACCCAGCTACCCCAGTACTCTGGCAGGCCACCTGTTCCTGCCACGCCTCTGGAAGACAGGACTGTGATGAGAATTCCATGAAGACAGCCCTCCCTGTAGCTACCATGTTTACCCGAAAATAAGACAGGGTCTTATATTTATTTTTCCTCAAGAAGACACCCTAGGGCTTATTTTCAGGAGATGTGTTATTTTCCCCTCAAAGCCTCAGCTTGCAGCACGCACAGGATGGCCAGGACCTGACAGGGGGAGCCAACCTTGTTGGTGGGGCTGCCTGCACCTTTCCGGTCACCTCTGGGACAGTAGCTGTCCGGATGGGGCAGATGAGAAGGGCTGCTCGTCTTCTTTCCCTCTCCGTGACGAAATGCATGGGTTGTGCGGATAAGGGTACGATGCGTAGCCACGCCCATCACTGGGTCTCATTTTGGGGGTGGGGCTTCTATTGCGCAGAGGCTTAGAAATCCTGCGAGGGCTTATTTTATGGGTAGGTCTTTTTTTTTTTTTTTTTTTTTTTTTTTACATGTTCAAGAAGCTCAGATTTTTTTTTTTTTTTTCTTTTTTTACATGTTCAAGAAGCTCAGATATGGGTAGGTCTTATTTTCAGGGAAACACGGTAGTACATCAAGGAGCCCAGCCCCGGTTCAGGGCTTACGGCCATTCCCACATCTCATCCCCCCAGCACATCCACCTCACCTCTCAAAAAGAACATCTGAGCCAGGCACAGTGGCATGCACCTACTGTCCCAGATACTCAGGAGGCTGAGGCAGGAAGACTGCTTGAGCCCAGAAGTTCAAATCCAGCCTGGGCAAAGTAGTGAGACTCCCGTCTCTAAACTAAATAATAATAGGTAAAAAGAACATCTGGAGCCATAACCCCCTGTGTTCTTGCTACACACCCCTTCCCAAAGGCATTTCCTGTGCATTTAGGGGAACCTGGTTTGAAAAACTTGAGCATAGTGGAAAGGGTGGAGCCAGAGAGCCACATGCTGAGTGAACACAGCAGCTGTGAGAGGTCCAGATGCTTCCCAGGCCAAGCAGACATCACAGGGGTGATGTCTGTGGCCTCTAACTCATCTGGATGCAGATGCCACATGTCCGTCCATCTCCCACAAGCCACTTGGTGCCAGGGGCAGAAAGGGCAGAGAGAAGCCAGTTTAAAACAGGGTTCCTGGGCTCCGAAGCCACACAGGTGGCCAATCAGAGAGAGGCTGTGTGTGTGGGCATGTGTATGTGTGTGTGTGTTTGTGTGTTCTGCAGCTTGGGACTCTGATGACATTTCTGCTGTGGCCTGACCCTCACTCCTGGCCCAGCCTGAGGTCTCCACCCAAGGCCCCAGTGAGCCCAGACCCTGGGGCTCCAGCCTTTGCTGCCAGGTGGTACCTAGACATGGGAGGTAAGCAGTCCAGGTGGCCCAGTTAGGCATTCCCCCTTGCACCCTTCCTACCTGCCCCACTCTAGGGCCCTATGCCACCTTGCTGGGGAGGGACTTTTCACTTACACCTTCTCTGAGCCCACTCTAGGCAGCGACACAAATGCGTATCAGACACACCCTTTCCCCCAAAGGACTGGGAGGACAAGTGGGGGTGATTAGGGCTGTTATGGGGCTGTAGGATCCTGGGGAGCCCAGGTCCAGCCAAGTGCAGGCATCTCCTGCTGTGTTCCTCAGCCATCTAAGCTAAACGCACCACCTGAACCCAAGGCAAAGCCTGGCCAGGTCTGCCCGCGCCCCACCTGTGGCCAAAACCACACACCTAGCCCTTTCTCCGGCATTAGGAGCAGCAGCCCTGGCTCTCCTGGGGCACCTTGGCCTGCAGGAATTGCACAGCGACTGGGACGGTGCCTGGGGTGGGTCACAAGGGGCATGGTACCCTGCCAGGAACAAGAAAGGTGTGGAGCAGAAAGAGATCCAGGCATCCCAGGAGAGTCATGGGCCAGTTTGAGCAGGGGTATGGTAAGCCCAGCCCTGGCCTAGCCAGCCTGAGAAGCGCGTGGGCAGACACCCGCAGCAGGAGGTGAAGGACCATGCCCAGAGGCGGAAGGGGCGCGCGGAGACACCCCCCCCAGGCGCCGGAAGGGGCGCGCGCCGCCGGGCGGTTGGCCGCGGCCTGGGCGGCGGCCGTTGGCGAACTGCGGCCTGCCAGGCGAGGTCAGGCGTCTGGCCGGGCCGCGGCCACAATGACCAAGGATTCGCCCAGCCCGTCGGGCGGTGGCCGCGCGTTGCCCAAGAAATCGGGCGGCCCCGGCCCGGCAGCGGCGGTGCTGGAGGAGCAGAGGCGGGAGCTGGAGAAGCTGCGGGCCGAGCTGGAGGCGGAGCGGGCGCGCGGGCGGGCCGAACGGCGACACTTCGCGGCCCAGGCGCGCCAGCTGCGGGAGGCGGCCGAGCGAGAGCGGCAGCAGCTGGCCGACCATCTGCGCTCCAAGTGGGAGGCGCAGCGCGGCCGGGAGCTGCGGCAGCTGCAGGAGGAGGTGCAGCGGGAGCGCGAGGCCGAGATCCGGCAGCTGCTGCGCTGGAAGGAGGCCGAGATGCGGCAGCTGCAGCAGCTGCTGCACCGCGAGCGCGACGGCGTGGTGCGCCAGGCGCGGGAGCTGCAGCGCCAGCTGGCCGAGGAGCTGGTGAACCGCGGCTACTGCTGCCGCGCGGGGGCGCCCGCGGGCTCCGCGGCGCAGTGTCGCTGTCGCCTGCAGGACGTGCTGGCGCAGCTTCGCTGGGAAACCGACGGCGAGCAGGCCGCGCGCATCCGCCACCTGCAGGCGGCGCGGGACGTGGAGCGCCAGCTCTTCCTCAAGTACATCCTGGAGCACTTTCGCTGGCACCCCGTTTTGCCCGCACCCCCAGGCCCTCGGGCCACGCACTCCTCGGAAGAGCCGCTCCTCGAGATCTCAGGCGGCGAGCTTCACGCCGCGAAGTCAGCCTGTCGACTTGACTCTCTTGACAGCCTGAGCGCCGGCGTCCGCGTCCGTTCCCGCTCCCTCGACCTGGTGTCCTCCGCGCGCTCCAGCTCCCCAAGCGGGCTGCTCTCCACGCGTGCCAGCTCCCTCGATTCCTTGGCACCAGAGCGTTCCCGCTCGCTCGACAGCACCCTGAGTCGCCCCAAGGCCTCTGTCCGCAAGGAGCGGGCCTCCTCTTCAGACACCTCCGCCCCGGGCTCCCCGAGCCCCTCCCCGCCGCCGCCCCCGCTCCCGCCACCATCGGCACGCAGGTCACCGAGCGACCCGCGGGGAGAAGACGGCTCCGAGAGCAAGCCCTGCGACGCCTCGACTCCCTCGGCCCCGGGCCTGGACTGCCGCGAGCTGGCGAAGCAGAACTCGGAGCTGGCCGAGGCGCTGCAGGTGCTGGCGCGCCGCTGCTCCGACCTGCGCGAGGAGAACCTGCAGCTGCGGCGCGCCGGCGTCTCCGACGGGGCCGACGAGAAGGTGAAGCGGCTCAAGGTGAAGCACGCGGAGCTGGCTGGTCTCGCGCGCCGCCTGGAGGACCGGGCCCGCCTGCTGCAGGAGACCAACCTGCGGGCAGTTAGCGCGCCTGTGCCCTGCGAGAGTCGCACCAACCTGGAGCTGTGCCAGGCCTTTGCGCGTCAGCGCGCCCAGGACTTGTCTGAGCAGGCGAGCGCGCTGCTAGCCAAGGACAAGCAGATCGAAGAGCTGCGGCAGGAGTGCTACCTGCTGCAGGCGCGTGTCGCCTCAGGCCTCGGCAGTGACGCGCATCCTGGAGACAGTGCCCAGTGGCTCAACGCCAGCGACTTAGACCGGCTGCACCGCGAGTCCCAGCGGGAAGTGCTGCGCCTGCAGAGGCAGCTAACGCTGCAGCAGGGCCAGGGTGGCGCCCAGGCAGAGGCGGGAGGCCAGAGCGGCCCCTGCAAGGAGGCGCGACGCCAGGTGCAGGCGCTGGAGCGCGAGCTGGGAGCGCGGTGCCGCGAGTGCGAGGAGCTGGGCGCCCAGGCGGCGGCGGCGCGGCGGCGTGGCGAGGAAGCAGAGGTGCAGCTGCAGGCGGCGCTGCGCAAGGGCGCCTGGCTGGCGGAGGAGAACGGGCGGCTGCAGGCACAGGCCGACTGGGTGCAGAAGGTGGCGGCTGAGAACAGCGACGTGCGCGGGCAGTTGGGCCGCGCGTGTCAGGAGCGCGACGCTGCAGGCCTGCTGGCCGAGCAGCTGCTGCAGCAGGCGGCCAGTGGGCAGGACAGGCAGCAGCAGCTGCAGCACGACCTGCAGAAGGCTCTGTGCGACCTCCAAGCTGCCCGGAAGGAGATACAGGCGCTGCAGTGTCAGCCTGGCCACCCTCCAGAACAGCCCTGGGAGGCCACTCAAGCCCCGGAGTCCCAAACCAGGAGTAACAGAAGGCTCAAGTCCCAGCCAAGGGCTGAAGATCGCACACAGTCACAGCCCAGCAGAGACAAACAGGAGAGAAGGGAGGCCATCCTGGATGTGAGCCCAGTTGCCCTTGGGGAGCCAGCCAGTGTCCCTCACGTGCCAGACAGAGTCCTTGCCAGCCCGCCTCCAGACTCCAGGCCTCAGGCCAAGAAAACCAGCTCCCAGTCGAGCTCCTCCTCTGAGGTTGAGTCCGTGTGGGCCACTGTGCCCTCCTGCCCTACTCTGGACATGGACACGGCCAGTGAGGTGGATGATCTGGAGCCTGACAGTGTGTCCCCACCCCTGGAAGTGGGAGGCTCAGAGGCTCCTGCCGCCCCCAAGCTCAAGGTTTTCCTGGCTCAATATAGCTACAACCCATTTGAGGGGCCCAACGAGCACCCTGAGGGTGAGCTACCCCTCACAGCTGGGGACTATGTGTATGTCTTTGGGGACATGGACGAAGATGGCTTCTATGAGGGAGAGCTTGAGGATGGCAGGCGGGGACTGGTGCCCTCCAACTTGGTGGAGCAGGTTCCAGACAGCAACATCCCGGGTTGCCTGCCCCCCAAGTCCCCTGACCTTGGCCACACCCACCTCCCAGATGGGCAGGGCAAAGCTTCGAAGGAAGACAGTTTATTACCTGGGGAAGCCCCGGGAGCAGTGGACAGGGGGCTGTGCCAGTTAGGAAGGGTGGGCCCCAAGGCAGAAGTACCAATAGACATCTTGCATTCGAAGACAGAAGCCCAGCAGCCGGGCTCGCCGCAGAGCGTGGGGGAGCAGAGCTTCTCCAGACCCCTTCGAGGGCCCAATGGGGTGTTCTGTGTGGCTCCTACGCAACTACACCTGCACAGTGTCACAGCCACATCGGCCAAGATCACCTGGACCTACCACAGCAGCAGCCACTCCCACGTGGTGTACCTCGGTGAGCAAGAGCACGCCCTGACCCCAGCAGGTGTGAGCTGCTACACCTTCCATGGCCTACATCCTGGCACAAAATACCAGACACGCGTGGAGGTGCGGCTGCCGGGGGACCTGCTGCAGGTGCACCGGGAAACAATGTCCTCCACTCTCACGTTCAACACACCTTTGGCAGGACCGCCCCACCCTCCTCTGGACGTGCTGGTGGAGCGCCACACCTTGCCAGGCCTCCTGGTGGTCAGCTGGCTCCCTGTGACCATTGACTCTGCGGGGTCCTCCAATGGAGTCCAGGTCACTGGCTACGCTGTATATGCTGATGGGTTAAAAGTTTCGGAGGTCACCGATGCCACTGCCGGGAGCACTCTGTTGGAATTTTCTCAGCTGCAAGTGCCTCTAACATGCCAGAAGGTCTCAGTGAGAACCATGTCACTCTGTGGTGAGTCTCTGGATTCAGTGCCAGCTCAGGTCCCTGAGGACTGCTTCCCATGCCACCAATTGCCAGAGACTCCTCCCTTTCGCTATACTTGCGGCGACCCATCCACCTGCACAATCACCTTCCCCGTCTGCCCTCAGAAGCTGGCACTGGCTCCTCTGAGTGCCAAGGCCAGCCCCCATGCCCCTGGAAGCTGCGGGGAGCCCCAGGCCAAGTTCCTAGAAGCATTGCCGGAAGAACCTCTGAGGAGGCGGTCTCTAATGTCCAACCTATGCTCAGAAGGAGAATGTCCAAGTTCAGGGGCTGGCAGCCAAGCCCAGCGGCTCACAGAGGCCCAGGAGGGCTGGAGAAAGGACCTGCTCTTTCAGAAGAGTCCCCAAAACCACAGGCCACTTTTGCTCAGTGGCCAGCCTGGGGTCAGAGAAAACTGCTGCAGGCATATGGGCACCAGCAAAAGCCTTGCTTCGGGATTTCTCCGTCTGTCCCATGAGTGCAGGCCCAGGAAAGAGCCATGTCAGAAGAAGGCTGCCCTTGAGAAGGCCCTCAGGCAAAAGCCAGACGTGCAGGTGTTCACGCCTCCGCAGCTGGATGGCAGCCAGCGACGTGCACCTGACCTCCGTGACATTCTGGAGGAGGGGGAGGCAGTGTCGTTGGATGCGCAGGGCACAGAGCAGCGAGGGCAGAGAAAGGAGCTTGGGCCCCAGTGCAGGCGAGGACAGGCTCTGGGGTACAAGCGAGAGTGCCAGCTCCATGAGCCCAGCTCAGTGCGGTGTCCAGCTCCCTCTAGCAAAGCCGGTAAAATGTCCAGGGGTGGCCCCCCACCGCCGGGGACAGGGACCAACACTCCAGCCAGGGTCTTTGTGGCCCTCTTTGATTATAATCCCCCAGCGATGTCTGCCACCTCTGAGGCTGCAGAGGAGGAGCTGGCCTTCCAGAAAGGGCAGTTGCTGAAAGTGTGGGGCTCTCGGGACCCCCACGGCTTCTACCGCGGCGAGTGCAATGGGCGAGTGGGCACCATCCCTGGGCACCTGGTGGCCGAGGCAGAACTGGGCATGGAGTGGACTGATGGGAGGTGGCATTTGTGGACACAAGGGCACCTGCCCTCTGTGGCCCACCTTGGGAACACTGGGGGGCTGCTCAACAGCCCCCAGCGCTCCTCTCCCAGTCCCCAAGGGAACTCCAGCAGACCCCCACTGTGGACTCCAAAGACCATGATGGCAGCTCTGGACTATGATCCCCGGGCCGGGCGAGCAGGCAGCCGGGCAAAGGGCAAACTGGCGCTGAGGGCGGGGGATGTGGTCACAGTCTACGGGCCTGTGGATGACAAGGGATTCTACTATGGAGAGTCAGGTGGCCACAGTGGCCTGGTCCCAGCCCACTTGCTGGATCACATGTTCCTTCATGGAGAGTGAACAAGGCTCCTGGCATGTGTGGTGGCCTCTGGCTGCCCACACCCCGCCAGAGAAGCAAGCGTGTGGACCCTCACACCAGCACCCCTCCTGCCCACCATAAGCAGCATTTGCTGCAAGTGCTGTGTTAAACCAATGGCAGTCCCCAAGCGTTCCCTAGCCTCTGAAAGGAGCACCGCCTAAATGTGAGTTGAGTCGTTTCCAAAAGCCAGTCCCTGAGAGTTTGACAGCCTGTGTCAGAGTTGTCGATAACTATATTAGGCATCGGAGACGTGCCTTTTTCTGTGGCCAGTGTGTGTTTTCTTTAGGAGTTAAATGTTATTCAGCCATTGCCTTCTGTGAAAGTCTCAAGAAAATTCTGCATTTAAAACAAAAAAAAGCAATCAGAATGTTATTTTTCTATCCTATGTTCAACCCCTCATTAAAATGTTCATAGAAAAAATAATATTTTAGAAGTTAAAGCACAAGCAAGGGAAACACGAGCATGCCTCTTCCTCTCTCTTCTGTCCAGTGGGTCTGCAGGAGCTGGCCGGGGACGGAGGGCGGCCCTTACTCTTTAGATTACGCTCAGGGTCTGCTAGGGTGGCTGCACAGGGCACGGCCAAGAGCCAGCACTGAGAAACAGGGGCCCAAGGGCTTGGCTGGCCAGACGTCTCCTGAGGGCATCCCCTGCACCCAGGCTGTGTTACCGAGGAGCCCAGTGTGAGGGGTGGGTAGGGTCAGTGTCTCCCAGCTGGGGGTCCCACTTTCCTGAGGCACTTTGTAAGGCTTCTCCCTGGGAGGACATTTCCTTATTGGTCCCATTTTGCAGAGTCAGCTGAGGCTCAGAGCCATCTCTTCCATGGCCTTCCCAGGCTCCCTCTCCAGGGTGGGGACAAGGGATACTCTCAATCCTTCTCTGCTTCTGTTTGAGGCCCCTCCAACTCCCCACGTCCAACACCGCTGCCTGAGCGAGGACGCTGCCTGCCCAGGTGAAACTAGAAAGGACCAGAAGCACCCCAGGGCAGAAAGATTGGAGCCACCGGCTGGTTTCATGGCAAGTTGCCGAATTGGGGCCAGAGGTTTCCACCATGCTGTCCCTGGGGCTGAAGGTGGGGACAAAGAAGGGGCAGGCCCGAGGGCTGTCTCCACCTGACACATTTACAGCCGCCTGATCCTCAGAGAACACACGAGCCGCAGGGGCGGCTGCGGGGTACACACGCACACTTGCTGCGCACGAGCTGAAGGCTGCAGGCCGCAGTAAGGGGAGGAAGTCCACCTCATTCCTCATCAATCAAGGGCCACCATGGTCCCCTCTCAGGCTCACAATGACAGTGAGAAAGGCTCTGCTGGACTACACCTTCAACCCTTGCTGGCAGCCACCACCTCCATTCCTTCCGGGCCAATGATGTTCAGGCCCAGTGTTGGCCACAGCTGACAGCATCAGCTTTCACAGCCAGTTCCCAAAACTGGTAAAATAGGCTGGGCACGGTGGCTCACACCTGTCATCCCAGGACTCCGGGAGGCTGAGGTGGGAGGATCACTCAAGCCCAGGAATTCGAGGTTATGGTGAACTATGATCACACCACTGCACTCCACACTGGGCAACAGTGAGCCCCTATCTCCAAAAAGAAATTGTGACATTATGGTAAAATATAAAATCTACTATTGTAACGGCAACCTTTCTTATCTGTGCAGCTCGGCAGTGTTAGTGTATTCACATCGTTGTGCAGCAGATCCCAGAACTTGTTTCATTCCGGAAAACTGGAACTCTGTGTCCATTAATCAATCAGTAGCCCCACCTCCCCCCCCCCCAGTCCTTGGCAGACACTGCTATATCTCGTCTATGCGAACTTGACTCTTCTAGGTGCCTCATACAAATGGAATAGTACAGTACTTCTCTTTTTTCCCCCTGTGTTAGCAATTTATTTTTTTATTCTTTCTTTTTTTTTTCACCTGGAAGACAGAGATAACAGTTTATTTTAAAAATCACCACCCCAGTTTATCAGTTTCTTCTTTGTTCATATTTTTTTTTTTTTTTTTTTTTTTTTGCGACAGAGTCTCACTTTGTTGTCCAGGCTAGAGTGAGTGCCGTGGCGTGAGCCTAGCTCACAGCAACCTCAAACTCCTGGGCTCCAGTGATCCTTCTGCCTCAGCCTCCCGAGTAGCTGGGACTACAGGCATGCGCCACCATGCCCGGCTAATTTTTTATATATATATCAGTTGGCCAATTAATTTCTTTCTATTTATAGTAGAGACGGGGTCTCGCTCTTGCTCAGGCTGGTTTTGAACTCCTGACCTTGAGCAATCCGCCCGCCTCGGCCTCCCAAGAGCTAGGATTACAGGCGTGAGCCACAGCGCCCGGCCTGTTCATATTTTTCTTAACAGAAGAAATTACAAAAAAATTGGAGGGACATATTATTATTATAGAATGAGTCATGAATAATAATGATTCAAAAGCTCCTAGTCTAACTCCTGAATCAGGTGAAGAATAAATGACAATATAAGAACAGATTTTCCTTACTGCAATATCAAAAAATTATATATTATATTTAAAAAATAAAAAAACTCTAAGGATACCCTAATCACATGGCTGAAAAAAATAAAGAAAAATAAAAATATTAAAATTATATATTATATTTAAAAATACAGCAATATCATAAACAATGAATTATTACAGTCCAGTGGTAATTATGTTCACCATAAAACTTTCTTGGCCTGAACACCAGGCAAACTAAAATCACTGACTGCTTAAAAACTGGAATAATCAGTGCAAGCAGTTGTCTTAGTAGTGAAAAATAAGCTGGGCACCAAGGCTCCTGCCTGTGATCCCAGCACTTAGGGAGGCTGAGGCAGGAGGATCACTTGAGGCCAGGAGTTTGAGGCCAGCCTGAGCGACACATCGAGACCTTATTGCTACAAAATAATAATAATAATAAAAAAATAATAATAATTAGCTGGGCATAGTGGCACATGCCTATAGTTCCAGCTACTCAGAAGGCTGAGGGAGAAGGATGGCTTGAGTCCAGGAGTTTAAGGTTGCTGTGAGCTATGAGCACACCACTGCACTCCAGCCTGGACAACAGAGTAAGATCCCAGCACTTTGGGAGCCTGAGGCAGGAGGATGGCTTGAGGCCAGAAGCCTGAATAATATCGAGACCCTATTGCTACAAAATAATAATATAATGATAGTAATAATAATTAGCTGGGCATAATGGCACATGCCTATAATTCCATCTACTCAGAAGGCTGAGGCAGGAGGATCACTTGAGTCCAGGAGTTTAAGGTTGCTGTGAGCTATGAGCACACCACTGCACTCCAGCCTGGACAACAGAGTAAGACACTGTCTTAAAAAAAAAAAAAAAAAAAAAGCTGGCATGGTGGCTCACACCTGTGATCCCAGCACTTTGGGAGCCTGGGGCAGGATGATCAATTGCTTCAGCCCAGAAGCCTAGGCAACATAGTGAGACCCCATCCCTAAAGAAAAAAGAAGTGAAAACCGAAATCAGTAAGGCTCTTCTGGCTGTGAGTCCTGACATGAATGACTGCATCTATGTTCAGTGAGGGCCCAGACACCCTCACTTTGACTCTTGGTATTTCTTTTCATCTAAAAGGGTGGGGCAGATTCCCAGCTCTTACAATTATTCCACTGGTCCCCATTGTGGTGCATCTGCAGAAAAATGTCACAGCCCGTCACGAACCTGCCTTGAAGTACACTCGCAGGTCAGTGGGCCAGCTGGGACAGTCTTTACTGCCTTCCCAGAGGTTGGCGTCATCCAGCACATGGGAGGACTCAGTCACAGACTCTGTGCAGCCGCAGCCCTGTGCCAATGCGAGCGTGTTGCTGAAGGCGCACTGGGGCTGCGCTGGCACCCCCTGAGGAAGACTACTGCCTTGGCCTTCACCAGGGCTTCCAGCCGCTCTGGAGAGCCTGGACCCCGCAATTGCGGCTGTCTGTGCCACACCCGGTGATTGCTCATCCTTATACACTCTCCAGAGCCCTCCTCGGCCCCGGACCATGGCTTGTCACTAGTAATTGTCTTTTTTTTATTTTATTTTGGAGACAGAATCTTGCTCTGTCCTTAGGCTGGAGAGCAATACCACAGCCATGGTTCACTACAGCCTTGAACTCCTGGGCTCAAGCAATCTTCCCACCTCAGCCTCATGAGTAGCTAGGACTACAGGTGCCCGCCACCATGCCTGACTAATTTTTAATTTTTTTTTTGTAGATATGGGGTCTGGCTATGTTGCCCAGTCTGGTCTCGAACTCTTGGCTTCAAGCAATCCTCCTGCCGCAGCTTCCTGAGTTGTTGGGGTTATAGGCGTTAGCCACCATGCCCAGCTCAATTTTTGTCTTTTAGTGTCTGGTTTATTTCCCTGAGCAGAATGTCCTCAAGGTTCATCCAGGTTGTAGCATGTGACGGAATTCTCTTCCTTTTTAAGGGAGAGTAATGTTCCATTGTATGGATCTACCACGTTTTGTTTGGTGGCTTATCTGTCAATGGACACTCAAGGTGCCTTTTAGCTGCCGTGAATGACACCTCTAGGAACATGGGTGCACAAATATCTCTTCTTCATGCTTTTTTCAAGCCAGTAGATCCCTGGGGAACCTAGAATGGAGCCACAAGAGAACCGTGTCCGCAGGAGAGGACAGCCGTGCCCTCAGCTCACGCGTGCCGTGTTGGGGGTTTGGGAGGGTGCTCATTGGTTAAGGAGTGCGGACAGGTGTGGCCCCCACATCCTGCAAGAGCAATGACAGGCTAGTAAGAGAATAGGAACTTATTATTATTATTTTTTGAGACAGAGTCTCACTCTGTTGCTTGGGCTAGAGTGCTGTGGTGTCAGCCTAGCTCACAGCAACCTCCAACTCCTGGGCTCAAGCGATCCTCCTGCCTCAGCCTCCCAAGTAGCTGGGACTATAGGCATGCACCACCATGCCCGGCTAATTTTTTCTATATATTTTTAGTTGTCCAGCTAATTTCTTTCTATGTTTTTAGTAGAGATGGGGTCTCACTCCTGCTCAGGCTGGTCTTGAACTCCTGAGCTCAAAAGATCCTCCTGCCTCAGCCTCCTAGAGTGCTAGGATTACAGACGTGAGCCACCGCGCCCGGCCTGAAACTTTAATTCACACACTTTCAGAATTAAGGACAAGGACTCTCATTGCATAAGAACCACAAATTCAGCCCAATAAGGGTCATACTGAAGAGCGAGACCCCATCTCTACTAAAAGTAGAAAGAAATTAATTGGCCAACTAAAAATATAGGGAAAAAATTAGCCGGGCATGGTGGCACATGCCTGTAGTCCCAGCTACTCGGGAGGCTGAGGCAGGAGGATCGCTTGAGCCCAGGAGTTTGAGGTTGCTGTGAGCGAGGCTGACACCACGGCACTCTAGCCCAGGCAACAGAGTGAGACTCTGTCTCAAAAAATAAAAAAGGGTCATACTGCTGAA